AAGAACGTTAAAAATATGTGGAACCACACGACTACTCGCTGTAATAATTCTTGTAGGAAAGTTTGACAAATAAAAAATATGAACCAGACTTCATTCCCACAAGGGGTAACTGTTGCATGCAGCTACTTGGGGAGTAGCACCCCCACGGGTTACCACAGTTCAGTACACCATGCACACTAACCAGAACAGTACACTAACCACCTACACTCAACATAAAGTCAGCTACAGTACACACCCTTGGACTACCTTCCCTAGGAGATTTTTCCTATCAGGAAGGGTATGTTTGGTAACCCTGAAGGGCAGCCCTCCGCCGCACTAGGATTGGACAGGCTGATACCCTGCCCTTCCGAAATCTAGAATATCACAAGTAATGGAAGAGATACAGCCGGACAGCTTTTATGAAATTCAACATGGCGAGGAAAAGGAATTTTACGACTGGCAATCTGGAACATGCGAGGTTTGAGGGAGAAGGAGTACGAGCTACTGGAAGAGAAAAATAAGGCAAAGGTTGATCTGAAACAAGAAAAATTCTCATACTGCTTAATGCAGTTCAAGAGGATGGATTATGATGATGATGAACCAGACTTCATGTGTTTATAATCAGAAAATATAGCTCATAAATAACTGTTCATCGGGGTTGGATGTTCCTACACGACAATAAATAAATACCATAATACTCATTCAAGACCTTGGGTAGGACTTAAAAAGAGAAAGATAGTGTTCTCATTCTGTAGAATCAAGGAAAAAATGTACCTGTATTGACTATTATTAATTTCTATTTCTAGATTTTGACTGGTGATGATATGGGATGGAAATTAGTTACGTTGGATGAAAACAAATACAGTGGTTTGGCTCCTCCTGTTTGTCAAGCAATTTTACGAAGTGCATCATTCAGGCTCCTTATGATGGGCATTATTTTAGCAAATGGTATTATCACAGCAACCATGCACTTTAAACATGATGGTAGACCTCGCAATGTTTTTTATGAAAATTATTATTATATTGAGGTACTGTTTCTGTTTTATTATAAATTCATGAATATGTATTCATAATCTTAGTTAAGTTATTTGTTAATTTGCTAAAGTTTATTCTTTTATAGGTTGCATTTACAGTTGTTCTTAATTTGGAAGCAATTTTTAAAATTTGGTGTCTTGGCTTTCGAGGTTATTTTAATCAATCATATCACAAGTTTGAATTACTTTTATCCATTGGAACTACTTTACATGTCATGCCATCATTATACCTTTCTCCCTTAACGTATTTTCAGGTAGTTGCCATGATAGAATATTTAATGTATTTATTATACAAAATTCATTGTTAACAGTTATTGTAATTTTAAAATAGGTGTTGAGAATATTAAGACTGGTAAAAGCTTCACCAATGCTCGAAGATTTTGTTTACAAGATTTTCGGTCCAGGGAAAAAACTTGGCAGTTTAATCATATTTACTATGTGTTTATTAATCATTTCATCTAGCATATCAATGCAGTTGTTTTGCTTCCTATTTGAGTTTACGAAGTTTGAAAGTTTTCCTGAGGTATGTAAAAGCTCACAGCTAAATTTACTAATGATGAAACAAAATTGTCAAGATATTTTTATTGGGTTAGCCGATGTTTCGACCCAAAGGTATGGGTCATCCTCAGGGCTATTGTTTGGAAATCAAGACAAGAACTTGTCTGGAAGTTCTTGTCCCCTCATCTCAAACTTGAAGTTCTTGTCTCGAATTCCATGATACCCCTGAGAATGGACATGGACCATATGTTTGGATTGAAATGTCAGCTAACCCAATAAAAATATCTTGACTGAAATTCCTGACAATTTTGTTTCATCCTTATAATTGATTAGTCGACTGCTTGCACATCATTAAATTTACTAATGTTACATTAGATATTTACAATTGGATTTATCATTTTTAGGCCTTCATGTCCATGTTTCAAATATTGACACAAGAAGCTTGGGTTGAAGTTATGGATGAAACTATGCTGCGAACCAACAAAACATTGGCACCTTTAGTTGCTGTTTACTTCATTCTGTATCACTTGTTTGTAACTCTGGTAAATTTAATTTTTTTTTTTCAAGTTTTGTTATATAACCATAAAAGTGGTCAAAGCTCTAATGATACATATGATAGTTTGGATATGATGCTATTATTTGTTTTGTTTTTAATATAGGAATAATTAAAAAAATAAAGAAGCCGTTGGATGGCAAGAAAAACAAAACAAATAACATGTAAATATTTTTACTGAAATTAGAGTTTATCACTTTCACAATTTTTTTATTATTTTCTAGATTGTGCTCAGCTTGTTTGTAGCTGTTATCCTCGATAATCTTGAACTTGATGAAGACATTAAAAAGTTAAAACAACTAAAGTTTAGGGAACAAAGCGCTGAAATAAAAGAAACTCTTCCGTTTCGTCTAAGAGTGTTTGAAAAATTTCCAGATAGCCCTCAAATGACAGTTCTTCACAAAGTTTCTTCAGATTTTATTCTACCAAAGGTCAATAGTTTTCAATGAAATTATAAAATTGGGATTACAAGTATTTGTATTTTTTGAAAAATTGTATTAGTAAATGTCCTACTCCATTTTATTTCAGGTTCGTGAAAGTTTCATGAGACAGTTTGTTCTTGAAAGGCCAAAGGATGATGAAAATGAAAATTTAAAGAAAATATGTGACTTGTACGAATCGAAGGTGGTTTATAGGAAGCAAAGATCTGTAAAACTACTGAGCAATATACACAAAGTTCGATATGGTAGTTCAGAACTTAAGAAAGCTGCCATTGGGAATATAATAAAGTAATTAAATCTGATAATTTTAAGAAATATTTTAAAATATAGAATTATAAATAGTGATCAAGAAAATAATTTGTATTAGTAGTTGTGCCTTCACTATGTACAGGGAAGAGAGTGGAGGGAAGTAGGGTACAGAATTTTATCCATTGATCCTATGCCCTATTTGGTTTTAAATATCCAATCATAAACTACATTCAGCTATATTCCATTGTTTATTTTTATTGGTTAGTTAAAATATTTTGTTCTAGTGATTCAAATAATCAACGATTAATGCTTGGAGATTCTGCAGTAATACCAGTACCAGGAAAAGGAGCTCTCCATTCACAGGGCACCATCAGCAGTGCAAAACAGTTAAGACTTGATCAAAAGAAGTAATTTAGCACTTTGTGAAAAATGATTATAAATGGAAAGAATTATATTTAAATTAATTGAACTTTTATGAAATAGTTGTTTGAACAGATCAATAAGGCGTAGTGTTAGGAGTGGCTCTATCAAATTAAAGCAAACTTATGAACACTTGATGGAAAATGGAGATATTGGAGCAATGAATCGCATGAGCTCTTCTAGAAACAGGCCTCATGATCTAGATATAAAGCTACTACAAGCAAAAAGACAGCAAGCTGAAATGAGAAGGTTTGAAAATCATTGATTATTTCTCTTTAACTTAATAATTATTAAGTTCAATGATAATTATGAGAATCATTAATTATGTGAACACTTGAAATTTTTTTTCCCTCCTTTTCTTGGCGAAATTCTAGAAATCCTATGTTTACGAAATATGTCAAGCTGTTCCACATTTTCATAATGTTTACTGATTAGAAACTATTGTTTCAGTTAAAAAATTACCCAGTGTCAACGTTATTAGTATTTTCTTTGTGGTTGAAAATGTAAATAAAAAACAACACGATAGGTTTCTTATGATAATTAAATTACTAAATTGTAAGATATCAAATCAGACATTTTAACAAAATAACATATCATAGATGAAGTTAAGGATTTATATTGGAAAACAAAAAAAAAATATCTATATTGTTGACCCATTTGTTTTCGTTTTTATTTAGATATTAAGAACTTTGTTGTAATGAAGTAAGGGTGGACTTTATAATTGGTTTTGATTTAATATTTCTATAAGGTGAAGCCCTATCAGTAGTAAATTATTTATAGTGTATTAGCTTTACCTAGCCCACACGTTGCTGTCAGTCTGGCTTAATGAAAAAGAAATAACATAGAAAGCACACCTGGATAAGGAGTTCATAAATCACTTCTTCGAATGAAAATCTCAATTACTTGGGTGAATGTAAAGTTTTCAATCAATCAATTATAAAATTAATCAAAAACTAAGATAAATGAAATCGTCCTTGCAGAAAAAAAGTTAATATATAAATTAATAAAACGCTATATCTCTGTGTCAAATTGTCCAATTTCAATGATTTTTTTTTAAAATTCAGCAATAATTTTGTGCTTTTTGATATATTCGCAAATATAGTTCTGTATCCATCGCAACTTTTTGTTATATACATAAATTAAAAGGGCTTTAAGGAGAAGAATTTAACCAAGTTTCATTAAAATCCTTCCAACTGTTTAGGTGCTACAGTCTAGCAACACATGTTTTTTGTCTATTTTTCTGAAATGAAAAGCCGGGTGGTAATTAAATGTATATAAAAACACAGCTGAATCGTATAGAAATGTGTCTACATTTCAAAGGAATGTGTGAATAACTTTTGGAGATTAGCAGTTATGTACAAATGAATATTTATATAGATTTGGACGGCATTTAGCAGGAGAAAAAAAGTCAACCAAATATACAAAAATGATATGATCAATCTATTTTGGTTTGGAAAAGGTGTAGAATAAAAATAAAATATATTTATTTGAAAACTCTCAGATTTTCCAAGATCATTAACTTTGATGAACTGAACTTTACTCAGTAAGTAAAGTAACTGAAGTTTATAGTAACTGAAGTTTACTCAAAACATGTGCAATGTGGATTGGTTTCTTTCTGTTAAATGCTGTCTGTCTTTTGATTTTAATTATTATTTTATTTTTTATATTTTACCTAGTATTCTGTATTCTGTAGTTTTCTGTAATAAGATTAAATTGCTTCTTTCTTTTAGAAATCAAAGAGAAGAAGATCTACGTGAAAACCACCCCCTTTTTGATACTCCATTATTTATTGTACCTAGAGAAAGCAAATTTCGAAAGGCTTGTCAAATGTTAGTTTATGCTAGATATGATGCTAGACTTCGTGATCCATTGACAGGAAAGGAAAGAAAAGTTAATTACAAAAGATTACAGTACGTCAATAAGTTTATTATATCTAGATTTAATGTTTATTTATAAATATTTTATATTGATATCTTGTTCAACCATAATTCTTCTTTACAGTAATTTTTTAAGTCTTGTGACCTACTTGGACTGGGTGATGATATGGGTAACAACTTTATCTTGCATATCTATGATGTTTGAAACTCCTACCTATAGGGTAATGAGCACGCCTATCCTTCAAATTGCAGAATATGTCTTTGTTATATTTATGACACTTGAACTGACATTAAAAATCCTGGCTGATGGAATTTTCTTCACTCCTAAGGCATATATGAAAGATGTTGCATCTATTTTAGACGTTTTTATATTTGTGGTAAATATGAATTACTATTTTAATACTGTTATGTTCTTGATTCTTAACACGTTCATTCTAGCACTACAATTCATGGCCTGAACTAAAGTGTAAAATGAAAATGTATTTAAGTTATATTTATAATATTGTATTATTACATCCATGTTATTGAACTGAAGTTATGTTTATAAAATGTTATTAGTAAAAATAAATGTTTTCAATCAATATATATTATTGGTTTATTACAAAAAGTCATTAAGTGCATTTTTTATATGGGTTAACTTTCAAATATGTTTCACATTTCAAGTTGCAAGAAGTAATAGATTCACTATCTTTTTTGAAACCCCTTTAGGTTTCTTTCCAGAGAGGTCATGATGGCAAAGTGTGTTGAGGCATTGCCAGATTTAAATATTCTCGAGTCTAGCGATGCTGGTTCAAATCCAGTCTGGAGGAAAGGGGGTTATCTATTATTTCATAATTACAGTATAGCCTATGAATGTTAATTTTGTATTGGAATTTGGGGAAAAAAACAAAGTTTTATAAGGTATTTTTTGGTAAAATGTTCATTATGATGTAACACTTATTTTTTTTTAGAATATCTTTTTAGATCTAAGTATTACATATAGTTTTGGGGAACATAATTGAAGAAATTCGAAAGATGATGCACTGTTCAGATTTTTTTTTTTAACTGTTTGTGTATGATGAATTATTTTTATAATTTTCTAACTAAAATATTTGTTTGTAAAAGTGTTTTTTTTTTTTTTATATTTTGTCAAAAGTTCTGTCTGTATTACAATATATAAATAAATAGAGTTTCTTTTGACAAGTTCAAATTCTGACCGGATGGTACACAAATCCCTAGAAACACTTAGTTTGGCAAGAAAGTTTCTATGTCATGTGATTTGTTTCAAGTATTATTAATAGTTTTATTTTTTCAGACGAGTTTAGTTTTTTTGTGTTGGATGCCAGAAAATGTGCCTCCTAATTCAGGAGCTCAGTTATTAATGATTTTACGATGTGTGAGACCCTTGCGAATTTTCACTTTAGTACCACATATGAGGAAAGTTGTTGATGAACTGTGCCGAGGTTTCAAAGAAATACTCCTGGTAAGTTTAAATTAATTTATATAGAAATGAATGAATGAATGAATGAATGAAAATAATTTTATTATTATGGGACTAGTGTCCCTTTAGAACAAGTCACAAATACAGAATATATATTAATATTCTGGTGTGTCCATAAAATACTATTTAATATTTACAGGTTGATTCGGAGTAGAATAAAGTTATAAATGATGAAAAGATATAAATACGTGTAAATATAAAATATACAGAGAAAGTAATTAAGTGAACGAAATATCAATGAATTACAAAATAATCAGAGTATCTGGGTGTACTTTGAGATTTTTACAGCTTAAGTTTTTAAGTGCATTTCGTGATCAATCGGATTGGGAATGGAGTAGGTGTTCGAAGAATGGAGTAGTTGTTTTGACATCAGAATAGTATGATACAGTATTCTGTATAAAAAAAATAATTTAATTTTGTGGTTGGATTTAATCTTTTGTTTTGTCATCTGATTCATTTGATGAAGTAATGAATCCACATTTATCTATTAATAAATTACATCATGTTTTATATCTTTAATGAAGTTTATAGAACATCTTAAATTTAAAGTTTTGTGCCAAAGTCATGGCTTATATTATTTGTTTACCATAATTTTACTTTTTCAATTGTAGAATGATACAAATGAAGACTGTATGTTAATGACAGTCTAACTGCCAACCACAAAAAAAAAAAAAAAAAAAAAAAAAAAAAAAATTGAGCTAGCCTGTAAAAAAAAGCTTTATTTAGCCTGGAAGGTGTTCCATCTCCAACAACCTGAAAACTACACTAAATTCCATAATCATTAATATTGACTTGTATGACACAAAAATAAATTTTGCAGTATTATTATTATTTTTCTGTAAGACCACCAGCAGCAGGCATTAGTAAAATTCTTCCAAACATTATTTGATTCTCCTTATTTATAATTTTCTCATGAAATCAAGTATATAGAAATATACGCACTTTATTAAAAAAATCCTTTCAACCAAAGTTGAGAACACAGTTACAAATAACATGTTTTGATGAACCAAGATTTTAATCTTTTTATAGTTATATTATTAGAATTTCATTATATTTTAGCAAGTATTATCCAAAAATCATAGAGCTAATCTATTTACTAAAATGAACAAACCTACAAATGATTTACTCAAGCTATTGTTCTTTAATGGATTGCTTTTAATGTTCCACAAGACATTTTTTGGGTTTTTTTAAATCTTCAATTTCTGTGTGAGTAAACTTACCATTATAATCTTAAACCTTTATTTAAATCAAATCAGTTCAGTAGTTTTCTAAAACAAAAGTGCTTAAAAACGAAGGATTAAACAATAGAACAATTTCTTTTTATATTGTTGTTACTTTTTTGTATGTAGGGAAATGTTAGGATTAATTGGAATCTCGATAATAAAGTTTTGACCAATTACCACTTCCCCTCCACTTCTATATGGTTTGTAGAAATAATAGGTCTGATTTTGAATTATTATTAATTGGTATTATGTTTGTCAAATGAAGAAAAATTACTTTTGAGAATTCCATATAGAGTGTCATATAGTTTTTATATTCTCTTAATTTTTCATTTATTTATTTACTTTATGATTAATATTATAATTTTACAGGTATCAATACTTCTGATTGTGCTAATGTTTGTCTTTGCAAGCTATGGTGTTCAACTATTTGGTGGTCGATTAGCTAGGTGTAATGACCCCAACATAACTCGTAGAGAAGATTGTGTTGGGACATTTGAGAGAAAAGTGTTTGTTACTAAAATGAAAATATCCCTTGGTCCAGATGAGGATCATCCTGCAATGCTAGTTCCTAGGGTTTGGTATGATTATTTCTTTTTTCAATTTATATTTTTATGTTAAATTGTTATTTTTTTAATTTTTAAAATTTACTTCTATAATGATTATTTTAGATCCAGTTTAATCTCACAGATATCTTAGCAGTTGAAATAATTTTTTTTAAAAATTAATAATCATCTGTATTTCCTGTAAAAATTGTTATTTGTCATATCAGGGCGAACCCAAGAAGATTTAACTTTGACAATATTGGCTATGCAATGTTGGCATTGTTTGAAGTACTATCCTTCAAAGGTTGGCTAGACGTTAGGGATATTCTCATCAAAGCTCTGGGGCCTGTAAGTTAAGAAGGGTCAACGTTTCTTCAACTGTTATTGTAGTTAATCTCCCCTCCTCCCTCCCTCTCACTCCATTTAATATCCATTCTTAAATCATCTTAAGTTAAATAATCGAGTGAGCATGTAAAAAACTCCAAAGCATGAATCTTGGAACGGTATAAAATCCTAAACTAATTGTTGCCTTTGATGTATAATGATTAGATGTAATGCATATGTTATATATATTGTTATGAAGAAAGTATTGATGGAATTATGTATTGCCCTGTGTATAAATTAATGTGGTATTAATGATATTGATGTTATTATTTGTCATTGTGAGGTTTTGCCATTGAAGTATTCAGCCGATATATTTTTTTTTTTGTGATACGTCTGGCTAAAAATTTATGTTTTGACTGTTAAAAATTTTAGGTTTTCTGTAGAATTTTTTTAACATTGTAATATTTAATGAGTGATTAACCTTTTTAACAATTAATTAACATAAATTTAATTACATTTATTCTCTGTGGTATACTGTAAATTGTTCTTGCCTCGGAACATTTATTTCATCTTTATGAAATTTATATTACATTGGCAAATACGTCCTTTCGGTTTTTCTGTTTATTTTTATGTCACTATGGTACACTTCTTATCTGATGAATTAATCCCTAAGGTCGGTTGTTTATCCTGTTTGTAATATGTCAACAACTATATCTGTTAACTCTTGTTGAAACTAGCTTAGTACTGTGTTTGCTATTGCACTGTGAATATGGAAGAAAATATATTCAGCGTGCTGTAGAAGCTCATAGAAAGATTTAGAGCGTTCATGGGGATGATGCCTTAACCGAACGCACCTGTCAAAATTGGTTTGCCAAATTTCATTCAGGAAAGTTTGACATTAATGATGCTCAACGGCCTGGTCGCCCACGTGATATTGAAATGAGCAATATTAAGGCCATTGTTGATCAAAATCTCACCCAATCAGTGCGAGAGATTTCTATGGCCCTAAATATGTCACACACAAGTGTAGAAAACCATTGCACAAGCTCGGCTATGGTTTCAGGTTTAATTTTTGGGTGCATCACATGATTTTTTTTTTTAAATCACAAAAAATGTTATAACTTCATTACGACTTTAGCTACCTACAAGAAATTTAGCAGGAATTTAGGGCCACATAAACTACACAAAATGACATCAACAGGGCCTTTGTCAACTAATTAAAAATAGAGATAAAAAATAAAAACCTATGAGGAGTTTTTGTTTCTCTATTCCTTATGTAGACATTAAATAAAAAAAACATTCATATGGCTTTGAAGAGAAATAATTGAACTTTTCAACTGATATAGTAATATCGAATTTGGAGAACATCCTAAAGAGTTATGAATGATTGGAAGAGTATTATGTCCCACCAAGACAACGCTAGTCCAACAGCTCATTGTTCATTCGCAGGAAATTATTGAGCCTTGGATGGGAGCTTTTGCTAGCTCCAAGTGACTACCACTTATTCCGGTCTCTGCAGAACTCCATGAATGGAAAGAAATTCCAAAAGCAAGAGGACATCAAAAACCATTTGGATCAGTTTTTAACTATAAACTCCAGACGTTCTATGAACATGCCATTATGCAATTAGTAGAAAGATGGGGAAAAGTCATATTAAATAATGTTCAATATCCTGTAGATTAAAATAAATTTTATTTCTGTAATACATTGAGTTTTATTTCACCCTGAAAAACCGAAAGGACTTATTTGCCAATCCAATATTAAGCCTTTATTTAGTCTTCAAAAAATAAAGATAAATAGAATTATATTTAATACCTATTTCATGATAAAAAAATAAAAATAGCTAAGATTAAATGTAAAGAAAATAAATTCAACTCTCGATAGAAGCCAAACTATAGTAGACGACAGAATATGAGGCATGTGGTCTTGTAGCATCAATTTAGTAGACTACTATTATCGTTATTAAATATTGAAAACTAATTTTTAAATTAATGTGCTAACTTTGCTACTTTCATAGTAAAAATCAAGTCCAGTGTCAGCTTTCATTTTGATGCTTAGCTTGTCCATGTTGTCTTTGTGTGATGTATGCAGAAGATTATGTGTATGTATACGTTATGGTTTTGTTAGTCGAATTCGGTAATGTAAGAGAATCTGTGATCAGGATTGAATGACAGAAAGTGTTTATTTATTTGAATACTAAATCCACTTATAGGTATTGTGACCAATTAGTATCGGATCTATTTTAGTTGAAATATGAGCACATTTTATGTATTTTTTCTTTTTATTTTATAACTTCCTAATCCTACCCATGTCGATTATTGGCTATTAGTTATATTTACTGTAATAAAGTTTTGATTGCATGATAAAATGAATAACAGTAATATGTGTACGAAAGCATGTTTCCAAAACTTATTAAAATTTTGTATACTGTGTTAGTAGTTAATAAATAAATAAATAAATCCTATTTAATGACATGTCATGCAAAAAATTCCTTCTTTTTATTGGTTTAATTTTGTTTGAAAAATTAATTTTTTTTTTTTATCTGTCTTAACTTTTATTATTCTGATGTTGAAAGCATGCCTTGACTGATTAGGCTAATATGAGCTTGCGGAGGAGATGCTATTCTGTGATCCAAGCATGCTTCCCTGCTACAGATCTGTTCAGTGTATAGGCTATTTGTCAGTTAAAATACATAGGTATGACTTAATGTAACCTTTTTTTTGTTGTTGATTATTTTATTTTTTATTAGTTATTCCTTCAAAATTTCTATCATTTCTATTACTGTATGTTTAGATTCATGCTATATACATTCACATTTATATATTCCTTGGGTGTATGATTGGCCTTACACTGTTTGTTGGTGTTGTAATTGCTAATTATTCAGAAAATAAGGGAACTGCTCTTCTGACAGTTGATCAGAGAAGATGGTAAATAGGACTGGATATTTTGATCATTATTTGTTTTTTTTCTCGAGTATTATACATTCACACAAAATATTTTAATCAGGTGTGACTTGAAGAAAAGATTGAAAATTGCTCAACCTCTTCATCTCCCACCAAGACCCGATGGTAAAAGATTCCGAGCCTTTATTTACGATATTACTCAGAATATATATTTCAAGAGATTCATTGCTGGTATGGTCTTGATCAACAGTAGTCTTCTCTGCGTTTCGGTATGTTGAACCAATTAGCTATCATTTATTAGTAATCAGATTTTTGTTACTATATTATGCTATTATTTTTTTCATTTATAAAAAATAAAGTAGTTTATTGCCTTGAAAGTGGGATATTCTTAATAGGTAAAACACTTGTCTTGAATGGAGCCAGTTTAAATCTTGGCCTGGTAAAAATTAGTAGTGATGCGAACTACTTGAAATACTGTTTGAGCCAGCTCAGTGCATGCAAAAATGAGTAAAATCAGTTAGAGGATAAATAAGGCAATTTGAACCTGGTGGTGACAATATTACCTTCTTAGTATACTGGAAAGTCCGAAACCTGGCACCACTGTCTAAGAATTAATTTTAATAAATATAATTTTAAGATTTTTCTTCAAGATGAATTTTTTATGATTTTTTATTCAGAATTTTTATGATTTAGATGTTCTTATTTTATTAAAAATAATTTTTAATATATGATGGAGTGGTATCGACTTCATTAGTTGCGAAAAAACTAAACGATTTTTTGTATCTAAACAAATCTTAACTTCATATCATTATAAAAAAGTTAATTACTATCCACAATTGATAAAATGTAAAACAAATCAAAAGTTTCAAAAAATGAAGATGGGATTTGAAAAATTAGCTGTCTATATGATGGCTTTCCCTTCCTTTAGTGTAAGCTCAGCCTGAACTCTCTGAACAACATTCTATATAATGTTGCCTATAGTAGTGACTAATACTTGGTACTAAGTAAATACCTAGTACTCGGACAATATGATAGTCCATGGTAAAGACCCCTTTTTATCAAATTATTAACATCTGGCTGAAACTTCGTAAATAGCTTCATCTCATCGTAACCTACAAACATTTTATTTACGAAAATTCTTGGAATTGGGGCGTTTTCAATCTGGAGGTCGGCAAACTCTCTCCATTTAATTAGGTACTAAAAACTCTTAAATACCCATTTGCTTTCAACTTGAATCGTAAGACAACTTGAGCACAAAGTCGAGAAAAAATATGGCCTTCAAAAATATTAAGCCGGTTGGCCTAAATAACGTCGTTATTTTGACACTTTTGGTGATGTAGGTCACACCAAACGGCTCAATATTTTTTAAGGCCACCTTTTTTTCTCGACTTTGTGCTCAAGTTATCTTACGATTCAAGTTGAAAGCAAATGGGTATTTATGAGTTATTAGTATGTAATTAAAAGGAGAAATTTTGCCGACCTCCAGATTGAAAACGCCCCAATTCCAAGAATTTTCGTAAATATATATTTGTAGGTTGCTATGAGATGAAGCTATTTACGAAGTTTCAGCCGGATGTTAATAATTTGATAAAAAGGGGTCTGTACCACGGACTGTGAGTATTAAAATAAAAACTGAAAATAGGTACCTTTTCTCCAACTCTATTATCTTTTACTTTATATGTGTACTCGTAAGTATGGATTCATTTCTTTCATTTCCTTAGTGATATTATAACAGCCTTAATTTTAAATTAAATTGTTATTGTTTACCACTAATTGTTTCTTGTAATGCAATGGTTATAGTGGCGGGAAGAGGAAGCTCATACTGGACCTTTAGCGCTTGTAAGTACTTGCTTGACTCTTGTATTTGTTGTTGAGGTTGTAATGAAAATCATTGCATTTACTCCACGAGGATATTGGCAGTCGAGAAGAAATAGATACGATCTTTTAGTTACAGTACTTGGAGTCATTTGGATATTTATTAATTCCACTTTACATGTAAGCACCATTCAGTTGTAAATATAATTCTGTTGTTAAATTTTAAATAAGTGGTAACAATTAGAAAATTGTTGTTTCATACTTATTAATTATTTATTAATTGCTACATCATTTTATTTCCAGAACAATTTATCGTATACTGTTGGTTTCATAGTTGTGGTCCTGAGGTTTTTCACTATCACTGGGAAACACGCAACCCTCAAAATGCTAATGCTTACTGTCGGTGTATCAGTGTGTAAAAGTTTTTTCATAATATTTGGAATGTTTCTTTTAGTTTTTTTCTATGCTTTGGCTGGTACTATTTTATTTGGTACTGTGAAGTATGGTGAAGGTATCGGCAGGTAATTGTTGTTTTTAACTTTCTGCCTCTAATAATCATGTAGTAGTATTCATAATTTAATAACAGAAGTTGTTTAGGAGAGCGAATTTCGAATCGCCTGTTACTGGTGTGGCAATGCTGTTCCGAATAGTGACTGGTGAAGATTGGAACAAAATAATGCATGATTGTATGATACAACCTCCTCACTGTACACCAGCGGACAACTACTGGGAGACTGACTGCGGAAATACTGTTGCATCTTTGATTTACTTCTGCTCATTTTATGTCATAATCACTTACATAGTTCTCAACTTACTTGTGGGTATGCTATTTTAGCAACATAATATTAAACCTCTATTTGTTAAACTTTAACATTATAAAAATAAAAGAAAAAACTGATTTTTAGAAAGTTCAATATTTCACATACCTATGTTTGTTATTCCTTCTAAAATAAATTACATCTTTGAGGCTAGCATGAGATTTTTTTGAGATTAAATTAAAAATTAAATTATTAGTTATATATTTAAAATTATCTATTTCATTGCACATTTTTTTCACTACACCATTTTCTCCTTGATTAAAGGCTACACAGTTATAATTTAAAATGTACATCAAATTTATGTTTTGTTTCTTTTGCAGCTATAATCATGGAGAATTTTTCATTATTCTATTCAAATGAAGAAGATGCCTTACTTTCTTATGCTGACATCAGAAACTTTCAGAATACTTGGAATGTGGTTGATATCCATCAAAGGGGTGTTATACCAGTAAGGAGAGTAAGTATCGGTTATAGATTGTAAACATTTATTTGTTAGTTTACCTTAATGATATAAGTTATAGCTTTGTGATCAGTAATACAAAAGCCCCTTTTTGTTTTTTCCTACTATTCAAAAACATGATTTACTGAATGAATATAAATTAAAGACATCCTACCTATTTAAAAATAAAAACTTTAATAAAAAATTATATATTAAGTTGGATTATCTTGAAGTTTATTTTTAATTCTTACAATGAATAAAAGGCAATAATTTTTTTTAAGATTCACTGGAGTAGTAAAAAAAAGTGACCACCCTTAAGGTTTTTACCAATCATTCCTGATTACTACTACAAATTTAATCTTATATTTAGACTAGTTCAAATTTGAAGTTAAATAACATTTAATGTAAATAAATAAAATTTTACAACAATTGATTTGAACATAAGGCTTTTCTTATGAAAGAATGTGATTTAATTTATTAATCTTACATTTAACACAACAACCAAGCCTTTCTCTGTGGATCAAATTGTTTTTTTCCCTCGAAATTTGTAATATACTGTTAAAAAAAGTATCATGCATTGTTTTAGTTTTAAAAATAATTCAATCACGATAGTTTAAAAAAAAAAATGTAATGGGCTATACACCTGCTTGTCCATATTTTTTTTTTACAAGAATTACAGTTTTTTTTTTATCTTTAACCTTGGTAGTGATTTCTCACGTGCATATAATCATCATATTTCGATTATTTTTGGAAATTTAAACAAAAACAAGGTTGTTTGTGGATCTCAATGGTAGATGTTTACACCCGCATGGTCCCATGGGTAAATCAGTGATGTGGTCATTAAAGTATTAATGGAAAAAGAGATTGCTCTTATTGAAATTTGTAGATAAAAAATTATATTTTGTTTTTTATCTTAAAGAGTTCAAAATCTTACAATATTTACTTTATAATTTTATTACATTGCCCTGTTAATTATAGTATTTGTTGAATGGTAAACAGTTATCGTACATAAATAGTGTTTATGTAAAAAAGTAATATCTATAGTTCTATTTCATAGGATTTATTACAGGATCTGTGTAAATGGAAAGGTACAATTAAATATCTCCAATAACCTCAATAAATGGATCAACTTATTAATTTTATAACCAGCACTAAAAGAAGTTTCTTCTCTGTTTAATAGCACTTTAATCATGAAAAATCACTAGAAATCTCAAAAGAAGGATGTACAAGTCTATGACAAAGCCTGTTATGTCATATGGCTGTATATCCCTTGACTCTAATCGTTATCATAGAAAGAAGAATTAAAAAGAATCTTCTGCATGATAGCAGGTGCGAGCAGGAAGAAGAATACTGCAGACTCTATTACATGTGAGGGAGAAAGACCACTTATGAACTGTTTACAGAAACTGGTCAGCCTCATGATTTAAAGGCAGCAAAGTTGGGAGAGGTACGGAGCTTGAAGAAATGAAATCCTCTAAACAATGATTACTTCACAGAAGTTGGCAGGCCACATGAGAGGCCATAAACCAGATTGATTGATATAATCAATAAAGATGTTGTACAGTAAATTAGAAAGCAGTGCCCATGATAGGCAGAGGTGGATAAGGCTTGTGGCCTTATATTGAAACTGAAACTAAAGTAAACATTCCTTGTAACTATCTATTTTTTTTATTAATTTTTATTTTTATGCCTACAAGGCCTGTAAAGCTAACAGAAAATAAAAGTTGTATTTCATGTATCTTTAAATATACTTGTTTTTGTGCTTATTAACATTTGTGCTTATTAATATATTTGCTTATTAACATTTAAATTTTATTAATGTGGGCTGTTCAATCCGGATTAGAGATAAATTCCTAGATAAATATTCTTATTTACCTATTTATTCTCATTATGAATAAAATGTTTTTTTGTTTTTGGTGTGATGCTCCAGTTCCATTTTTTTATTAATGATATTTTTAAGTCTAATTTGTAATATCCTGATATATATATATTATAGGTTAGATTCATACTGAGGCTACTGAGAGGGCGGTTGGAAGTAGATCCGCAAAAGGATAGACTTTTATTTAAACATATGTGCTATGAACTTGAAAGGCTTCATAATGGAGAAGATGTTACTTTCCACGACGTCTTAAAGTAAGTTTTATTAATTCACTGGCATATTTAAAAAAAAAAAAATAATTGATTGATTAAAATTAATTTTATTTTTATAGTATGCTCTCCTATCGATCTGTGGACATTCGTAAAGCACTTCAGTTGGAGGAATTACTTGCAAGAGAGGAATTTGAATATATAATTGAAGAAGAAGTAGCTAAGCAAACTATTAGGACTTGGCTTGAGGGATGTCTTAAGAAGATTAGAGCTACCAGCGGGGTTTGTATTAGGTTTTTTAAGATAAGTTGGGTGGGAAATACAAATTAATTCTTGTAATCATATATTTCAGAAGCAACAGAACAGCCTGATTGCTGGGTTGAGAGCGACAAATGAAATGAATGTACAGCAAGATTTACAAGAAGATAAAAAGGAAAAAGAAAACATTGAAAGGGAAATTGAAGCTGAAACAAAAGTAAACATTTTTATAAATATCTACCCCTTTGATTAATTTTTTTATTGATATGTCCATTTTTTCAAAATCTTCTCTCACTTGATTTTTGTTTATATTAAAATTTGCTCTTTGTCATTTTTGCTTTTTGCTTTATTTTTTTTAATAAGAAAAATCTAAATACAGGGTAATCGTATTGGTTAAAAATTTACAATGACTATAATTCTTAATAGGCTTCATTCTACTTCTCTTGCAAAAGATGGTATAAGAGGAACAAACAAAAATAATGAATTTGGTTTTAATACAAAGAAAGCCTAGGACAGCAGCAAAAAAAAAAGTTAACACCAGCAAGTATTTTGTCTGAAATCATTACTAATATTTCAATTAATATAACCCAGCAACATTGATACAATATAACATCAATCCTTAACAATGGTTTAGTTTTATAACCAATCTCTGTTGGCCAATATAGTTGTGCACTTGCCATTAGCATGGAATCCCTCCTTGCATGGACAGATTCCTGGTCACGAACCTGGATTAAAATATTCTTACTATTTGGGATTAATTTAAATGAAGAACTTTACAAGTCCTTTAAAAGAGATGGCTGTATCAGAAGGCTGTCCCAGAAGGCTGAATTCGAATACCCATCTAATTTACCTCACTTATCCTATTCTATGTTTGATGGATGTAAGTCATCTTTAATTGGCTGATACCCTCATTGCATGGAGAAAATGTTTTTTATAGAACCCTGTGCAACCTGGTCTGTCTAGAGGCTAACCTAGCTTCTTACCAATGTCTTGCCTATTTAGAAAAATCAGTTGTCAAAAACAAGATACAAAATTTTGAAGTGCAGAAGGTGGTATTTATGAATACTCCTTCCTTTCACTGTTTGTATTAACATCTCTCATTGTATTTCTAGGTTGCTAGTATAATTAAATCTCTTTAAATAGGATTTTGTACATGTTTTAACAACTTTTTTGTTCTAAATTTGTTTTCTACAGTTCATTTCATATAGGAAAGCTATTTCAATAATTGATTCAAACTCACTTTTCTGATGGCTAAAAAAAAAAACTATGAATGATCATTACTTAATTATACTTTTTAAATGATAACTTAAATGCTTATATTTATAAATTGCATCTTAGTGATTGAAAATTGTCACTGTATTTTAATAGAAAATCACTTTCAAGTCAACATTTTCAAAGTTCCAAAATTTTTTTTTCTATTTTAAGGAATCTGAATTAAGACAAAGGGCAAAACCAAAACAAACCACTGCAATACCAAGATCTGACAGTGTAGGAAGTACCGGTAGAAAATTTCTTGCCCCTACTCTTTCTGATCCATCTACTCGTGGTGAAAAAGAAAGGCCTAACTCGAAGAAAAGGAACAATAGGACACCAGGTAACCTCGATCCATCTTATAACTCGCTATTTGTTGGTGCCCAGTTACTGAAATTATTTATTGATTTATGTCTTAGACAGTTTTATCTGTATAATATTTAATTTATTGGAGTATTATCAATATATTAACATGAAATGTACTTTTTATTTTTTTATACATACCAATAATTTTCTTAATTTTCTTTTAAATTTCAGTTGAAGGAGAAATGACTAGGGCTCAGACAAGAGAAAGTATCAATAATAAAGTGAATTCTACAAAAATCTGTAATGTTACTCTCGAGGTGAAGGAATGGTGGCATGAACAGTTGTGTATTTATTCAGACACCAGTGAGGAAGATTGTTTGTAGTCATAATTTTGGGATTTTGGTGGCATTCTTTATTGTTATGAGAAAATTTTATTTTTAACGAACAAGGCTGTGTTTACGTGTGTGATGTTATTTTATTGATTTGAAATAAACTCTTGTTTGTACAATTTTTTGATATTTTTATTGTAATTGGCAGTCAAGATTTTGTATTTTCCATTCAAAAGTTTGTAAATTGAATTTATATATATGCTTCTTTCACTACTACCTGGTTTTCTTCTGAAGTCCATTCATTTTAGTTCCTTTAATCATCTTTCAATAAATTATTATTGTAGTTTTGAATAATAAATGGTTCTTATATTGGACTACAAAATAAAATTTCAAACCACTTTATTATAACCGGAGATCTTGAAAACTTAAATTAAGTGGTACGAAAAACTGATTTTGACCTGCAATTATTTACTTTTAGAAGTGAGGAAGCATAAAAAAAAGTATACAGGTGGAAAAATATCTTTGATAATTTTTATGCTGTTTTACTTAATTTATTAAATATGTTGTATAGATTCAATGTGATTAAATATATGTATTGAAGGTTGAAATGAAGATGCATTTATTGTTGAAATGTAGATATGATTTTATTTTTAATAATAGAAAAGTAATACTGTTTCAACGTATGTTGAATAAGATATCACAGTAATGAATATTGGTGTAAAATAATAAAGATTGATATGGTAAAATGAAATTTTTTATCAGATGTCCAGATATATAATTTATTCATAAATAAATAGTATGAACGATATTTACAACAATCTATTCCTATTGACAAAAGTTGTTAAATATGACAGACTGTGCTATTTCTTAATAAAGCGTTTTTACAAAATTATGTAGACTATCTGTTTTGAGAACCCTACTACAGTTCAATATTGATAACTAATTCCTAAATAAAAGAACTAATTAACTTCAAAGGAAAATTTCCAAGGAATCACAAATAATTTTTGGTTAATTAATTATTGTATTAAGAGATCAAGTTTTACCTATCTTTTTGAAATACATACAGCCATTTTTTAACTTACAATTAATTTCGTTTTAGAAGGGGGACAGAAAGGAAGTGATGAATATATACTGATAATGATACGTATTTTTTAAATTAAAATTAAAATGTAATGTTATTATTTTTTATTATGTTACAATGTCAATTTTTCTCTATAAACATTTGTTATAGAGGCTGGGTGTCCCATAAGATGGTTTGTGGACTCCAGGGTCAATTTAATGGCTAGTGTAACAGAAAGAAAAACTATCTGCCACAGATGGATTCAAACACAAGACCCAGATTGATAGGAACACAATATCTTACTCAGAGGCTGAAGTGATCCCAAATTAAGTACAATACTTGATCATTTTTCACTATTTTTTCCATGAATGTGTTAATAAGTCTAGTAAACCTTTATAACAGGATAGCATTTATGTTGATGTCAATGTGTCAATTCTTAATAAGAAAAATAATGAATAAAAAAGGATGACCCCTCGTGCTATTTGATTAAAATTAAAAAAGTGAAGATCCTTCTTAATCAACATTATTTATATCAAATGTTTGATGGGAAATTTCACTTTAAAAACGTTTTATGGAATTCAAGTATAATTTGAAGTTATCTATATTTAGTATGAGAGTCAGTCAATACAACTAATAAATGCTATGACAAAGTTTGAAGTCAAAATTTTGTATTTAATCCATATCAATACTGTTTACAGTACCGAATATAACCTTACTGAAGGTAATCATGATTCGTTATCTAAATTGACAGCATGGCCTTATCTGCCCCTTCTGAGATTGATTCTAATCATTAGTAGAGTTTAATAAATTCCCCTTACGACGATAAATGTTATTTAAAACTCCATGCAGCCTTGGAGCCCAGTGCTATTTTGAAATTTAACAGCAATGGAATTCAAAACTACAGGTAGTTATGAACCTTTTCGGATTTATTTATGCTTTGAAAATTCGAAAATAATTGCCTTCCTTTGGTTGCTATACACACTGTACAGTTAATCGTCTTTTAAAGGTTTTAAAGTATAGAAAAAATTAAAAAAAAAAACTTCTATTTGTATTTAGAACTCCTTATGTTTTTCTACTTGTATTTAGAAGTCCCTTCTTTCTTCCTCACTCACTCCATTTTTTAAAAATTTATTTTGTTTTTTATTCGAAATTCTATTTTTATAGATTTTGATCGGCTTGTTATGCCTACTCTATATACTAACCTTGAACCTTCTAATCTGTTTATTTTATATCTTTCTCAATATTGTACGCTGCCACGTAAAAATACCGTGAATTTTAGTAACCCTCTAGAAAATAATTTATTAATCAATTAATTATTTTATGTTTGCCAGTTTATTGATGATTTCGAACGATTAGTTTAATTTTTATTGCATCCATTTATGATTCTGATCAAATAAAAAACATGGTTCTCAAATTTAACCGGCACATTCCAAATCAATTTGAGGAATGGGGGGAGGGAGGGAGAGATCGGCGCCAGTAATCTTTTATAAGCTCATAAATCCTACCTGTTTTTTTTTTTAGTTCAATTTTTAACATAATCTTCATATTTATGATTTAATAGAGTAGGCTATTGGGTATGATGATTGTGATAGAAGAGTTTTTTCTTTTTTACTATTGAAAAACTTGAAATATTTATCTTTTAAAAAGTTTAGTGATCTTTAAATATAATCAAGTTGTCTAATTATTAATCTTAGCCCTGGTTTAGAAATAGAGATATAGTGTAAAGTGGTTTTAACTATTAATCTCTTACTAATTACAGAATTTATTATTTAGTCACTTCTTAAAACTCCCAAGTAATGTGCTATTAGTCTATCTTGTAATAAATTGTCCTAATTCACATTTCTGGGCTTTGTTACAATGAAACATACCATGAAATTGCTGTAAACTTCCCCGTACTGAATTGATGAAATTGGTAATGCTTTCTGTTAAAATGTGCACTAGTTCTTGGTCTGAAAGAATAATAAATTAAAAAAAATATTTGGATGAAATGTCCACGGAAGCCAAGAAAAAATCGTTTATAGTTTCTATTTTCCAAATATCTACGTATTCTGAGATCGAGACGTTACCTACTGAAGGAGAATCAAGAAGAAAGCAGACCCGTAGGTCTGTCCAATGTCCTCAAATATCTTCAGGTTTCGAAAATTATCGCTATCGTTAAAAATAGATCCACACAGCATGATCAAATAATGTTAAAAACAAAATAGTAAGTGTACCTCTAAATAGTATTAATTTACATTAATTAATTAAGTACATTTTCTAGAGTTTTTTCTTTTTTTTTTATATTGAGGGCCTTCACCTACATGGGGAATTGATTGATGGGATTGTCCCAGGATAGGTAAATAAATTATAAAATGTAGTGTGCCAATTACTAGCGGATCAAGAGGGACGCAGAAGACGAGCGCTCTTAATTTTTTAGCTGTATCGGGTTTCTTATAAATAAGTGATATATAAATTCACTAAGATATAATTTTATTAAAAGTCTAGTTTCAAGTTGTGCCACTATTCCGATTTCGCTAGATATAGCATGTATGTATAGCACACGACTTTGAATGCGTTTCAGTACAGCTCTATTTGCGACTTTTCAGTGTTTTTCGTTGCCAATAAGGAAGCGGCCAAGCAGTCTAGCGCTCATGCAGTAAATGCGTGGTCAGCACTTGGATGGTAAACCTCATTGGTTGGTGGTGGAGAGGGGAAGTTCGATTGACCCGACCAAATAAGTCTCGGAAGTTTATAATACAATAAAATAATATAAAATGTATGGACAATAAAATACTGTTTATAAAAATAAATTTATATATTAGTTCTTTTTTTTTTATATCGGATATATTTGAAGATATGTTAACTGACCAATTGAATGTATTACATATTTTTATTTTTATTGAAGCCTCATACACAGAGAGTGCGATTTGGCGATGTAGTTGTATTATTATCTATTTTATTATAGTAGCCACACAGAGCGGGGTAATACTCAGCGATATTGGCTATCGTAGCACAGTAGGACGGGCAAGGTGAAACTCGCGACATCGGCTAAATATATATATATTTTTTTTAGAACTCCAAAAACTAGATAAACTGTTTTATTTATTATTTATGTTGTGGAGTTCCCGAGAATATTTTCATTTAGCAAAAAATATATTTTTCACCGGTTTTATTGAATAGTTTCTCCTTTCTCGCCGCACTGTGCGGTGGGACATATCTCGTTCTTTGTAAAAGTTTGAAAGAGGGAGATGAACTCCCAATTCTTCGATACTTCAAATTTATCGCCGGAAATGTGAGAAAATCTTCCTGTAAAAATGGAAGGTTTCATATGAATGAATCATAAAATCCTAGGATACGTTGTTACATACAATTATCTTTGAATGTAAACTTAAATTTCAATAATAGAAACATAGGGCGTGGTAAAATTCTTGCCTATCTACTTCTAGGCCTTAGCTTAACCCTCTAATAGACTTTTCCTATTTCTGTAATTGATTTTAGTTTACATATTTCATGATAGCGCAAGTTGTGCCATCAAAGTTTTAAGGGGGCCATATTTTGATGGGTTTTTGAATTTTTGAGGGGACGCATTTTGATGGGGTTATGAATTTTCAAAATGAAATATTTCAGAACAAGGGAAAAGGTGAAAATATGGAACAGATCGCATCAAGTGTAATTGTATATGATCTAGCATTTTTTTAAGTCTACCTTTGCTTGCTCTGTTTTTAAGAAAAGGTGAGCAATAAAATATGTTGGGAGGGGGAAAGGATAGGTTTTTGTGCCATTGACCTTGGGGGAGGAGAGGAATGAGCACCCCTATCTGCCCCTATGCCTCACTCCTTAAGAACTACATTGTATGAATCATCCCGGACTCCAAAAAGCTATAAATTTGATTCCGTTTAAACAAAATATACAATTAATTTTTCACTAGATCTTTCGCACATTTATCCAATTAGAAATAAAATTTATATTTCATAACTGGAGTGGGCATCATCAATGAAAGCAATATAGGGGCCAGCACTGGGGAGGGGAGAAAGGCACTTTTTGCTTCCATCCAGTGTTTTATGAAGGAGTCAGAGTTTCCAATATTTTACAACCATTTGCTTAAAAAGCAACTCACAAAAGATAAAAGTAATAATTGTATTATATTACACGTAATACACAGATGGCTGGACCAGTTTATGTATGTAACTCTAACCTCCAGATATTTCCTTAATGCTAGCGTTCATGAAGAGTAGAATTAAGATTTTTCATACATGAAAAGAAGAAGATAAGGATTTAAACGAGTTTTATAAAAATTTAACCTTTTTTTCATGCGAAAAACTATATTTTGCTAGATTGGTCCAGTCCAGATACCAATCCATTCATGGTAAACTCCTTACCCATCAGAGCCCACTTTTTTTTCCAGCCTTGCTTCCTCCTTGATTCCTAAAAAGCCTCCTAGGTATCTGAAAAGATGTTTCAGGATCGTCTTATTTAAAACTATATTGAGAGTGCTACCACTGGAAAATATCTCAAAAAATCTATTCATGTCATTATTCTTGTTCTGTTCACATTTAGTGGTCATATTTTATTTAATACAGTTGAATATTTCAATAAATATATTAAATACAAAAAATATTATTGAAAATTAATAATAATTGTCATGATCATCTTAAGTAATAAAAATGAAAAAAATATTAAATTTTTTTTTTTTTTTTTTAAATTTTAGAACATCCTCATATTAGGTATAATCCATTAAAAGGAGAATGGGTATTGGTTTCTCCTCACAGGCTTCAAAGACCATGGCAGGGCCAACAGGAAGATATCCCATCAGAAGTTCCGGAATTTGATCCTAAAAATCCTTTGTGTCCTGGAGTCACTAGAGCTAATGGAGAAGTAAAATAATAGAATTACTTATGTGTATTATTTTTTTAATTGATGTTTTTTTTCCCTTATTATATTTAAAAAGTGTTTATATTGCTAGCTAACTCCCCTCTATGAAAGCACCTATGTCTTCACCAATGACTTTCCAGCACTGTTGCCAAATGCGCCATCACCTCCTGATGAGAATGATCCTCTTTTTAAAATTGGTGATGCTAAAGGAACTTGCCTTGTGATGTGCTTCAATCCAAAAAGTAATGTAACTGTTGGTACAATGGAATTATCAAGCTTAGTTGATGTTGTAGGAAGGTATGAGCATTAAATTAAAATAATAAGCTTAGTAATAAACACCTGTTTAACAAAATGTATTCCTTATTTATGGATTTAGTTGATTTTGTCCTGCATGTGGCAATGTCTTAAGATCTACCTTTCTTTCAATTTTTTAAAATTAAACATAAATTTTGAAGCTAATTAATTATAATCTCATCACCAGTAATAATCTCATGCATCAGTAATATTATCCATGCCTATCAACTCAATTTAATATCTTAAAGAACTCAATATTTCTAAATAAATTTTTTTAATTATAGGCAAATGAATTAATTTCGGAAGCTATCTCAATAATATTCAACAGAGATTTGGCGAGAAGAAAAAGTACAATAGAAATTTATAACATGATCGGTACATACAAGCTGAGACCCATTAATTGCCAGATGTCAATTAACTTCAGCTGTGGATATAAGACTAAACTTCGAGTCACATTTGGCATTGGGCTATTAGACAAGATGTCATAGAATTTTTTTTTTAAATAACAAATAGTGATATTGCTTGTTAAACGGATATCCACAACAAACTTTGCTTTTTCTGCCCAAGGATAGAACCTATAGAATGTATTGTTAATTCAAATAAATTTTAAATAATTTCGTTTTTAATTGATATTAATTTCTCTATTTTAACGTTTTACTAATTCCGTTTCTGAATTTATTAGGATGTGATTAGAGTATTCTGAACAAAAGGCCTTTGTTTTCTAAAATTCAGATAAATAATCAACTCATGAATAGTACATAAAAATAAGTTATTTTTTTAACGATTAATTGTTTAACTGCATTTTGAGACTCATTGTTTTAGTTTAGTTTGAATTTTTCAGTTAATTCTTAACGATTAAGTTAGGTCTCTTTAAGTTTTTGTTCTTTTACATTAGTATATTTAGTATATTAATAAATATAAAAATAATGTTTTTTTTTAAAGTAAAGTTAGCTATAGCATTGCGGAAATACCAAGTCAAAAAATAGATATAAGAGGAAAATATATATTTGATGAAATTAATATAATTGAACATTAACTAAATCTGTTTGATCTTTTAATTTTAATGTATTTTTCTTTAACTGATTTTAAGTATGAAAAATGCAACTCCTACTTACAAAGAGATAGCTTTGTTTTACATTAAATAATTAAAAATTACTTCCTATTGTCTTAAAAGGTGGATTCAAGAATTGGTAAGGCTGGGAGAAAAATACCTTTGGGTACAGATTTTTGAAAACCGCGGTGCTATGATGGGCTGTTCAAACCCCCACCCCCACTGTCAGATCTGGGCTACTTCCTTTTTTCCAAACGAACCAAGGATAAAAGATTTATACCAAAAAGAATATTATGCTAAGTACAAAAGACCTCTTTTAATGGATTATGTGAGAAAGGAACTCGATTTAAAGGTAAGTAGTTAATTTTTTTTAAAATAATATATTTGATAGTACGTGAATTGATGATACCAATTTTTAATAATTTTTATATAAACATGTTTAGTTAAAAAGATACAATAAGAATAAAAGGCAAAACCAGGGAACTGATAAGTCAAATTTTATCGATGTGCAAAGTTTATAATGAGTTTTGTTTTAAGTTTCTTAAACCAGCCATGAATGTGAAAAATAAACCTCTATGGGTCATTTTTGTAACTAAAATATCGTAAATCTCTGATTATTGAATTGAAGTGATATCTCTGATTATTGAAGGACAGAGAAACTCCAAACCCCATTTTCATTATTAAGAATTTACCCATTTGCGGTTTTGTCTCTAAACCAATGATATATAGTTTACTTTTAAAGGATGATCATATTTCTTACAATGCATACACAATTTCAGCTTAATTTCCTATCTCAAGTAAAAATTATTTTGACCTATTACAAAGAAACAGAAGCTGAAAGACATACTTGTTATTTTTACAACATATTTACCTTGCCTGAAACATATTCTCTATTTTCTTCTACCGCAACTCTTTGTGAAGACATTGAAATTCCTACAAATACACATAAGAGTTCTGGTACATATCTTTTTGGAATCAATAAATGCTCAAAAATCATGATAGACAAAAAGTGTTTAGAACTATTGTCAATCATATAGTATAAACATAAATTAATATTTGTGCATAAATGCATATTTAGATATATAAATTAATTTATATTTTTCAGGAACGTATAGTTTTTCAAAATGATAGTTGGGTGGTCCTTGTTCCTTTTTGGGCTGTCTGGCCTTATGAAACTATGATTCTTCCTTTGACTCATGTGCGAAGAATGTATGATCTGAATGAAACACAAATAAGGGATTTAGCAGACGCTATGAAGCGTCTAAGCACACGATACGATAATATGTTCAAAGTGACTTTCCCTTACTCAATGGGGTGGCATGGTATTGTTTTATTCATAAATATTTGTATTATATTTAGTACTTATCCAGTGACAAATAATCGTAAATGAATGAGTTTTGTTGTTTCAGGAGCACCAACTGGAGAGTTCAGAAATACTCCAATGGACCATTGGGTCTTTCATGGCATATATTATCCTCCACTTGTTAGATCTGCAACAGTTAAAAAATTCATGGTTGGGTAAGTTATGGCTCTTATTATTAAATCCTTTCCCAAGTTAATATGGTTTCAGGTTACTTGTTTAATAGTTGGTAGAGTAAAAGATCAACATAAAATTACAAACCAAAAGTAACAATTTATTTATTTTTTTCTGTTATTTTGGAACTAGAACTTTTTCCATTGTAATTTTGAAAGTTAAGGTTTTACAGAACATTTATTTAAAAAATATGTATATATTTACACTTTTTGTTAAATATAATTCATTTTGCCAAAAAATCATTCTAAAAATACTAATTGGTCAGTATACTCTTAGTTCCTCAAAGAAATGACATATAAGAATCAAGTAATGCATTTAAAATAAATTATATATATAATCTAAACCCAAACACAGTTTATTTATCATTTAACTTAACATTTTTTTAAGAACTTAAATAAATAAAACTTTAACTTTATCATAAACTAAGAAATTTATTATAAATTCCTTAGAAATTTTATTTTAAAAACATGTTTTTCTATAAAGTTTCATGGAAAGTGTTAACATTGAGTTTGTTAAAAAGGTACCTCTAATTTTTATAAAACTCTTGGGGGATATATTTGATGAAGGAACAAAACTTGATCGTATAAGTTGAACAATATATATGAGGATTCTTATGAAATAAATTGATTTGGTTGATGTTATAGAAACATGAATTCTGAAGAAAATTAGATTAAGCAGGAATAATCTCATTTTATTTTTTTGTTTCACATTATCCTTGAGTATATTTACATTTACAAGGGAAAGATATGATACCTGTTTAAGATTACTAGATATTTTTATTGAAGTTGGTTAATAATTTCTTTTATTATAATTCAATCTTTGCTGTGTTAATCTTCTTTAAATTTGGGATTAAGCTCAAAGTAACTATATCTGAAACAAGAATAATTTTCCTGCAGAAGTTGAGAAGTCTAATATTTTATGGGCTGAAAAATATTATGCCTTTATTTTAATGATATAGGGAGCAGAGTAGCTGAGTGAATTAGACAGTGTGCTTTTATGCTCCATATCCCATGTTTGAGTACAGCTGTAGTAGGTGATTATTTATTCTGCTACATAAGCCGAGTATCAACTCTGGAATTGGGTAGCCTTCCTAAGGAACACCCAGTTTTGATGTCTACTTAACAGATTTTTAATCAGATCATGTTATCGAGATGCTAGTATAAGGGAGATTCCTTCTGATTTTAAATTAAAATGATTTTTATCCAGCCTAATTTTAAAAACCAAGCATTCAGATAAGAACCTATTTAGATATCACTGTCCCAACTTGTTTTACTTTCATTGTTCTAAACTTTTTCTATAAAATAGATTTTCTCACTTCATTTTGTTCTGAATTAGCTGCCTTTCTTTTTTATTTTAGACTTTTTTGGATATAAACATACCATGTACTGTTGTGATTATTTTTCCTGTTCTCTTTGATTTTCCTTTTCTTAGAAAATCTAATTGCTGTTTTTATAGAGTGTAAAGAAGTTTTTCTTAACTATCATATTTATTCTTTAGAGCATTGTTTATCAAATATTCTGATGTATTATTGCTTCAAATAGTAGTGTTTATTAGTTATCTCTTCTATACTAAAATATTGAAGGGATTTCTATAAAGCTGTCCATTGAATGTTCCAATAAATTATATTACAATCAGATATAATCTTTAAGCAATAAAACAATAATTTATCATTTGATTGCAATTTAAATTTTATCTTATTTCACAAAAGTCAATTAATATTATGCAATAAACATGATTTTCTTTCATAAACTCTCTCAACCTGGGGGTTGAGTATGATTGGGCAAATAGCATCTATAAGGTTCTGAACAGGTTTCCTATACATGTTCAGTAATGAAGCATTAGTCTCAAAAGATTTTATTAAATTTAATTTACTGTTTGGTTTAACTTTCAATAATAATAATGATATTTTAATATGTTTTAAATATTATTAGATATGAAATGTTGGCGCAATCTCAGCGAGACATCACTCCAGAAAAGGCTGCTGAAGTTTTACGGAATCTTAGTGAATCTCACTTCTATTTGGAACTTAAAATGCAAAAAGAAAAAGTCTCAAGTAAAAAAAAGAGAGGTGGTGCATCAGATAGATCAGCAAAATCAAATATAGGAGATAAAGGGCAGAAAGCATCAGATAAGGGTGAAACAAAATCGAAAACACAAATTCCAAAAACTTCTAAATGAATCATAATTGTGAAAATATATCAAATTGCTAATTGAAAAATTATTAAAATAAACAAATTTAAAAATTTATATCTTCTTTTGTCATTAATGTAATAATTAATGGCTAAGTAAACCCATTTGTTCAGATATCATTACGCATTGGGCAATAATAGTTTAGCCATTATCCATTCCAACAAGCTCATTTAAACATCTGAAATATTATCAGTTATACTTCCCAAGTATAACTTTAGAATTTGAAATTGCGTAAATGTTGTATTGTTCTTTGGTTCCAAATATTTTAATTTTATTTTTTTAACTTATTCCATTTTACATCCATAAAGAACAAACTGCAGGATATATGATGGTTTTGTAAATTCTTACTATCGAATTTCTAGGTAGGAGATAAGAACTAAGTAATTATGTGATAGATTTGTAATAAATTATTTTTATTTATCATGAATATGAATTTTTTTTAGGTATTGTTGAACCTTGATAATTACATAAAGGTCTTTATGTATCCAAAAGTATTGCCCATTATATTTCTATAAAATCATAGATTTTTCTGTTACTAACCATGTATTTGGTTCTATCAACATTTGAATGCGTGAGTTGAAAAATTCCATTAAGTTTTTGGGGTTTGAAACAGAAAAATGTTTTGGATAGATAACGCTTATGATTTTATGAGTGCTATATAGCATTTTAGCTGTCTTATAATGGTGGCTAGTCATAACTTGGTACAGAAATGATTAAAGTCCACTATTAAGCTGTTGCAGACTGAAGATTAGAATGGTACACTGAGGCGCAGTCTGCAAATTGAAGTTTGGTTTGTTCTTTGAAGAAATATTACAGATTTCAGTATAAGCAGGTAGTGGACCTGCAGCCTCCGAAAGTTTATGTGGAGCCTCTGTGGGATAATGCTGTAAAACTGTTGATTGCTATTTAAAAAAACATTCACTTAAAATTTAAAATAAATAGATTTACTTAAAATGCCACAATAGATAAAATTTGTTGATAAATAAGTGGATTATATTGTGCATAAATTATGAAAAAATGAGTGAATCACAATTCAATAAAATATAATTTTATTTACATTTGAATTAAAATAAATATACATCAATAAATTGGGAATGTATGGTCAATGTCTCTTGCCCATGCATGAAGCCCTCCACGAACGTCAAAAAAATCTTGATTTAGGAGCATTAGCTCCCTCAATTTTTTGACAGCCTTTTGAGAATCATTTCCTCGCCTGCATATCACATAAACTAAACAAACAACAATATGCAAATAATATAACTGTATTTCTATTTATCAAAAAATAATAATGACACTAGCAATAAAGAAGCATATAACTATCAATAGAATGATATAAAAAGTTCTTCAGCATACCTGGTTCATTTGGATTAGGAGACTTGCTAATGACACTCTTTAGAGTGTTCTGTGCAGATTGTTTTTCGATATCAGCCAGCGGTATGTTAACTGATCCAGGGAGCCTGCAGATATCAAACTCGGTCTTAGATCTCACGTCGATCACAACAGGCTTTCCTTTTTCTTTCAATGCAGTTCTTAATTCGCTAACAGTAATTCTTTCTTCTGGTTTAAGAAGATTAACAGCTGCATGCTATAAATGAAAAAGGAAACTATCAAACAAAGGTTTGAAATAGATAAGTAATATTTAAAATTTATTTTTATGAATTTATAAGACATGTATTAAAGTAATGACTATATGAAATGATCATATTAGTTAATTAAATTAGGAATTTCTTAAAACAAATATTTATGACTAAAATGTTAACAATTTTTGGAACCAATAACAAATTTCCTAATTATAGGAAAAAAGTAATACTTCTTTACCTAGCTGTGGCTGCAATGATGACCTGCCAAAGTAATAGAAAATGTTTTGTAGATTCTGAAGAATGTGACAAAGAAATGTTCAAATCCAAATTTTTAATGTAACTGATTTTATGAGTTTTCTTGGAAAACCCACAAGAAAATCATATCTTGGCAATCTATTAAAGAAGATGCACTTGGCAGTAATGAACATTTTTGGTGAACTATACTTTCTAAATTATTGATATCATGGAATTATGTTTACAATTTCAAATCGGTACTTGTGTCCTATGCGGTCAAGATGGAAACTCCCTTCTTACCTTATCCCACATCACATAAACTCCCTAATTCTTGTATAAGCTCTTGTTATCCTTCTATTAAGTGTGAGTTATGCCATTGTTTATTTTTTTTTAATTTTGTCATCTGTTCAAATGGATATTATTACACTTTGGAATTGTCGTCTTCAGTAGAAGAAGCTATAAAATATTTTCAAAAGGTCGGGATAATTCTAAAGGTGAAATTCTGTGAAGGAGGTCATGAAATGAAGTTTGACGGGAAGACCAAATGGAGATGTTTTCGTAGCAGTTGTAAGGAAAACGTATCTATAAGAAAAAGAACATAGTTAGAGGGGTAAAAGATTACCTTTTTAACAGCTTTAAAATTTATTTATGGCTTGTCTCATAATTTAACAACAATGCAGTGGGCCCACTGAGCAGCTGAAACTATCCAACAAAAGTTTGGTAGTGTGGAAAGTTTTTAAGAGAGGTTTGTGCTCATAGCATGTTATACAAGTCAACTTACAAAATTGGAGGGCCTGGAAAAGTCGTTGAAGTAGACGAGTCTTTTTTAGAAAAGAAAAAATCATGTAGGAGAGTTCTCCCAAAACAATGGATGTTTGGTGAAGTTTGCCGAGAAACAGACGAGTGTTTCATGGTAAAAAAAAAGGACAGAAAAGCAACAACTTTATTATAATGTATTAAAAATAATATAGATGAGAGAAGCACCATTTATTCTGACTGTTGGAAAGGATACAACACCCAAATACTGAATGAAGCAAATTATAATCATTTCCAGGTGAATCACCAGTATAACTTTGTTGATCCTTCTAATGGGGTCCATACTCAACACATAGAACAATTATGGGGCTCAGCGAAGTGGAGAAATAAAAAACATAAAGGAACTGCGAGGCAGCACCTGGATTTCTATTTATGTGAATTTTTGTGGCAGCAGGCTCACAGAGAGGAGGATCTGTTCCTCGTTATTTTAAATAGCATTAAGCTATTTTGTCCGCCAAAATAATTTAAATGAAAATAAAAGTGTTTTGTATGGATATATGTTGTTTATATAAAATATGAACATATATGCATTAAGTGTTTACGTTGTATTTTGTATATAATGTAAAATAAAATTATTATATGTATATATGTTGTAAAATAAAAGTGTTTTGTAATTATTACATTTGTTTTTGTCTATTTCAATTTCCATAAATATGAATACGAAGATAGGTATTATCAGTGCCTTATCAGAATTATCAATGTTCAGGTTATAAATATTGGGGGATAGCAGTCCATCCTGACCTTGTAGGACACAAGTACCTTCAAATACATATCACTTAAATACCAATTATCTATCTATTTTTCACCTGTAATTAAATATTAACGTAAAATTTCCTACATTGTACTATAATGTATTTGAAAATTCTAAATCATTATAAAAAATAAAACTATATTACTCATTGCAAAACTATAATAGTATTCTAAAGCATAAACAAATTCTGCATTTTTCCTCAATTTGATATCTAAATAATAAGTAACAAAGACATCGTTTTTATTAATTCTTTCTTATTCCCTAGGAATTTTATTAGTTTTGAATCAGTTTGTACAATTTAACAAAAGATCTTTGGAACTAATACAAGATCTATGAAAAGGTGCAGAGATAGCTTCAATTTAATGAGACAAATATAAAAAAAAATAACACATTACCTTATCGTTAGCAGGAGCCCCACAGAATTGTTCATAGTCAATTAACCTTGTAATAGTAGGATTCTCACCGCAGACAACACATCCAGCAGATTTTCCTCTTAACTTAACAGTTCGAAACTTAGTATCAGCTCCATCAAAAAGAAGCAATTTGCTTGAAAGAACACCTTCACTTTCCAAGAGAATGTGTATAGCCTGCAAAGCCTGCATTGTTCCTATTACTCCTGGAACTATAAAGATATTTATTTATAAACAATTTAATATTACTTTAGTAATTGATCCAATTAAAATACTAAAAACTACAAACAATTTGTTTGGCATCCATAAAAAATATATAACAAATTTTTGATGAATGAAATTTTCTTATTTCATATCAGCATTAACAATTAAATAAGTAAAATTACAATTTTAAAGATAATAATAATTTGTCTATGAAGACAAATATTTAAATTTGTAATCGTCTTCCATTAATAAGTAAATATCCATCAAGCAAACATGGGCATTATCTTCTTTATAACTACAGGTAAAATATATTTTTATAAAAATTTATATAAATGAAACAAAATATTGAATGTATTACTTAAAAAGAAGCTGAAAGAGAATAGAATAAATGTTCCTCAGAGGAAATTGGTGGACTTGATAGTGGTCATATGATCTCTGGAGCCATGAAATCACTAGATTTTTTTCTTTCCCTTTTCTCACCTTTTCGACAATAGAGGTTTTTGCTGAGCCAAGGGAAAAAGTGGGGAGGATTGGTGTCAGAGTTAATAGCGCCAAGCACTAGGATTCGCACTTGTAAATTTTAGTTAACCAGGTTGTTGGACAAAGCTCATATGACACATGCATTAGCCTACTTGGCGACCCTGCCCCCCTGAAATGACTACCTAACAATCAGGCCCAACCGTAAGGTTTTCTTTCTTAATTAATTATTTAATAAAGAGTATCCACTTTGCAGAGGCTGGGCGTGCTCCAACAAGATCCCCTGATTCCAGAGTCAATTCACATCTGATTTAACAGCATAATTAACTGATGATAGAATGATGTAACTGGACTAGAACGCAGGACCTTGATTATTGGAATTCAGTGCCTTACTCACTAAGCGGTCCTGTTATCTAACTGTAACTGCTACTTTAGTTGTATAACATTGTTTCTTGAATTATTGTGGGTGACCTTATTATTGCAGGGAAGAGATGGATTATTATTTAATTAAATTAAAACGGGATTAGATGGATTTAATTTATTAAAAAAAACCATCCAGTGTAATCCAAGAAAATTTATTTTAATATCTATTTTTAAGTAATCATCTATTATAGAAAAAAGTAATATTATGGCATTCTTTACCTGGTCCAAGAACACCAGCGTCCCCACAGTTTGAAACTGTGTTTGGTGGTGGAGGATCCGGAAATAAACAACGGTAGCAAGGTCCTCCTTTATAGTTATAAACAGTAAGCTGACCTTCCATTCCAACAGCACTGCCCGAAACAAGAGGCAATTTTGTCATTATGCATGCATCATTCACTAAATATCTTGTTGATGGATTGTCACTTGCATCAATTACAACAGAATATGACTGCATTATCTGAATGGCATTCAAACTGTTCAGCTGAACCGGATATTCATCGACTTTAATATGACTGTTAATACTGAAATTGTAATTTTCATGATTACAGTAAGTAAATAATATTAAATAAAACAAAAACTTAAGCAATGATTTACCTCCTTAAAGCTTGAGCAGCTGATCTCACTTTTGAGGTTCCTATGCTGTTTTCTTGATGTAGCAACTGACGATGTAAATTATTTTCTTCAACTTCATCATAATCAACTAATCCTATGTGACCTACAAAATCATAGAATGGGGGAATCTTTAGGATAAATAAAATCATTTTAAAAAAATCATCCTGGTAAACAGTGGTTGCAGCAACTTAAAATTATTTTTCTGTACGCAATAGTCTACAGAAATTAGTTTCTTTAATAATAATTTCTATTGACTCTTTCTTATCTTATATTACCATACATTATAAAATATAAATTAAAATAAATAATTTAATATGGTAAATCAGAGAATTTTGTTAATAATATACATTGAATTGTATTGTATAGAAAAAAAAATATTAACTTAATAATAGAGATGGAGTAGTAAATAATAACCATTTTAAATATTGAATTACTAACAAATGACATTTCCTTGTGTTTTTCAGTATAATGAGAATTATATAATTTTCAAACAAGTAATAAACAACCATTTTTAAAAAAATATTCTTTACCAATTAAGTAGGTAGAAAATCATTCAGTAAAAAATATAGACATAATTCAAGGAATATTTACAATATATATTTATGTTTATTGAAATACTCAAACATTAATTCAAAGAAAAAAATAATTGTGAAAATCAGAAAATAGATATGATCTAAGAGGGATAAATAAATTGCCTAGAGATTAAATATACATATATTGACAATATACATAAAATAAAACTCCTATTATCTTACCAATTCCACATCCAGCCAAATATTGAGCGGCTGGACATCCTAAACCACCAGCACCAATAATCAAAACTTTACCATTCTTAAAGCTTTCTTGTCCTAAACATTTAAAAATGTGATTAATAATAAATATTTAAAATATTTCAAAAGGTAATTAATTTTAAGCACCTTTTATACCAATGTTGGGTACAAGAATTTGGCGGCTATATCTCGATATTTCCCAATTTGTTAAATTGTGTTTGTTCTGAGTCAAAATCGAATGGAAAATTATAATAAAACTTTTTTAGATGTTAAAAATTAAATAGAAGAAAATAAAATGGAATTATTTAATCTTACTTGATTAGAAACAAGTGTTTCAAGTACTCTTTTTTTCTCTTCAATTTGTGATTTCAGTTCATTAATTTCCTTTTCTACTTCTTCCTTCTTACTCAGAAAATTCAGAGCATCCATAACATTTAGTAATTCATATATGTCAAAAGATATATTTAAAATGCAAGTTTTGTAACTATGTTTATATTTTCAAAATCCCTCAGCCCATAACCATTCAGGGCCTCAGTAACCTCCTGATAAGGAGTGAGCCACATATCATCAATCTTTGTAACTTCACTTGGCGGGCTTTCAAATATAATTTAAATTAGGATTACTATATTTCTTGAGTATTTGTGTTAAAACAAGGGACTGTTTCCCTTTAAACTTTCAATTAAATTTGTTTTCTAAATAACTAAATCCAGTTATGTAATAAAATATTTATTTATCTAAACATATAATTCAAACATACTGCTAACAGTAAAATTATATTACAAGTTAGTTTTTGTTCCAATACTTTTTCATTTAAATTTTCAAATTGATTTAATTCTTCTGAAAAACCGATACTAGTTGTAGAATGTATTTTCACATCATTGTTTTCAAGACAGAAATAATTTGTTTCATTAAACTTATGATATTGGCAGTCCTGATCACTGAAAGTTGGACATTTTTTTCATCTAAGTTTAATTAGAAGATTAGGAGCTTAATTACAATATTCAGATATGTTAATTTGATTTTTTGTGAGTTGGCATAATTATTAATTTATATTCCCATAAGTTTGAAGAAATGGATTTTTAAAGTTAATATGATTTCTTAATTAACTTAAATTGCTGTTTGACCTCTTTGTGCCTGCCACTGATTTCATATATTCTGCAGTTTTATTTTTTTTATAGATAATTTTAATATTTCTATGAAATTTTAATAATGGGAATGTTTAAATTTGATATAAGAATAGTTTTTCTAAATTTTTAAAAATTAGTATAATATAATTGATAATATTTCAGAAAAATCATATATATATATATATATATATATATATATATATATATATATATATATATATATATATATATATATATAAATAATTCATTCATACCTATACCTTTTTTTAAATATATATCTATTTAAATTAACAAGTTAAAAAATAAATTTCCTGTTCGAAATTCAGTACTCAAAAATTACTCAAATATTACGGGTGATAATTTAAGTGATATTATGTTTCTGTATTTCATCTCTAAAGCTATTTATTATTGGAACACTATATAATTTCATAAAATGTAATTTTATCTTATAAAAAAATAAATGACAAAAAAGCTGCTAGTTAAATTTGTATCGATAAAACTGTATTGGGGGTAAATGTATTGGGGGGGGGGGTCACTGATAAAAAAAATAGTTAAACCACAATATTTTTTTAAATTGTTATTATATATATATATCTTAGGGTATTTCCTTGATGTCAATACAGCATTGATACACATAGACCCCATCCTCCTTCTCAAAATTTTTTTTTTTCAAATTATAATAAAGATGATTTTATGTTAGTGCTGTCATCAGATTTCAGCATTCAGCATTCTGATGAATGTGTAAGGACTGATCTGTTTTTAACTAGTATCTTGGTGGTCCCAAAGTTGGATTTGCTTTATAGTACATGCCTCTAAAGTACATAATAGCATCTATTGACTGCCATAATCTGACACTGAACATCTGGCTGCATATTAATGGCCATGATCAACAGTGTTCCAAGGTAAAAAAAATCCTCAACAAATTTGGAGTTGAAATCTCTGATTTTGATTCTCTATCCTAAATATTCTCCTCTATCCTAAATATTCTCCTCTATGAGGATGGCAGATCATGTACTTTGTTTTGGACTTGTTCAACTACAATCCGCCTTTAGCAGCTGGTTTTTATAGATTTAGAAAGGCTCTTTTAATTCTCAAAAAACTGCCTCCAACGACTTCTAAATCATTGGCATTAGTTAGAATTTCAGATGTTTCGTTGAAGATCCTCCCCTCTGTTTGGATTCCAAACTCTGATAGCACATTCCATAGCAATATTAAACAGTATGCATGCTAAACAATCACCCTGTATGAGTCCCTTGTGGCTATCAAAAAACTCATACATGTCTTCAGACACTCCTACTGTGCAAAGAGTTGCCTTCATAGTCACCTTTACATGACAGACTAGCTTCGGAGGAATGCCAAGAGCAACCATTCCATCATAAAACTCCTCTTGAATGCACAGTCATCCACAAAGAGATGATGGTTATGGATATTATATTCAGCTGCTCTCTCCATCAACATTCTCATGGCAGAGATTTGGTCTATTGCAGCTTTGGCTTTCATAAAGCCTGCTTGATAATGGCTTATTCTCCTTTCAACAAAAGGTAATAAACAACAAAAAATATTATTGTAAAATATTTTATAAGAAAAGAAAAGGAGTGATGTTCCTCAGTAGTTTTCATAGTGAAGTGGAGTTGAGTTTATGAATGGGGCATATAATAGTTTGGACTATTCTTCAGGAATATACTTCTCTACTCAGATGTCTAAAATAAAGTTTTTGATAGACTTAAAAAAATGTTTCCCCCTGTTTCCAAAGGTTAGCCAGTATTTCATCCACTCCCGGTATTTCATTATGTCCACTTCATCTGGAGGTTCGAAATCTTCATCACATCAAGATCACCACATCAGCATCACCATACAGTTTCATTAATCCGGCATTAGCATACATATTGCCCCTCATTCTTCTCAGGGTCCACCTCTGAAATCTTACCAGAGCCTGTTCTTGATTCTTGGTTGATGCATTTTGCAGCATAAATCCATACCAGCCATACTTGAGCTTGTAGGTCTTTGGCTGTGTGAAACAGTCTTCTCCACCTCAACCTTTGATAGTGCAGTCTTTTGTGGCATCCATTTAAGAGATTTTCAAAGTGGTTCCTCCTATTTCCAATAACCTTTACTATCTCAGTGATTAGAGAATCAGATGTCTTACAGGCTTTTGATTGGGGTTTGAATGACTGGGAGGATCTGTTAATCCAGAAGCAAAACCTTCTATTTCATTCTGAGTCCAAAACATCTCAATTTCATCTAACTTATAAGAACAAATAGTACTGTATAATTCCATTTATATTATCTTTTTTTAGTTTGAGAATAATCAACACAATATTATTTTTATTTTTACTTTATAGATGAGTGCTATGGTCTTGATTTTGTTTTTCTTTTCTTTTCATATATATAAATATAGGTAAATTAGTTTCTATTACTTTGTTTGGTGCAGTTTGGGTTTGTTGCTCAGAGCATTTACTTGTTAAAAAGTGTAGATTAAGTTTGTTTAAGTTGAATTTGTTAGTTACCGCCGTGGCCATACGGTTTGTTTTGTTTCGAAATCTGCTGGGTTTAAAGACCTTGGAGGATAGTGAACATCAAGAAAGAAGCAACCGAGATCTCTGAGAAATCAAGGGTGAGTTGTATGTCACATTATTTTTTTAAATCTATTTTCTTTTCTTTTTTATTATTTTATGTTTACTTCTATAAAAGAAGCTCATATAGGAAAATTTCTGACATGCTACATTTGATAAATATCATACTTACATCATGTATCACATTTTATTTCAAGTGTTAAAAGTATGTTTTTTTTAATTCCAGCTTTTGCCTTTCAAGCTATCATTAGTTACAAACTTCTGATGCTATTAGGAAAATATTTTATCTTTGTATATTATGTAAAATTGTGTTTATGTAGCAGATACAATATGTATCTCATCTTCTTAAAAAATTTAATTATTAGCAGATTTCCTTAGTAAATGTTGCTATGCAGGTTGAACTGCTCAAATCTTGCAGTTATCTATGTATTTTAGACATAGTTAGACATATGGACTGGTTTTATTCTCAATTTGTATTAATTTATTTATTCTTTCTAATTTTGCCAATACATGGCTTAATTTTAAAATGACATATTTTACCCATTTTTCTTTATTTTTGTTTGTGTTTTTCTATTTTATTAGTCATATCAAATATTTTATTAATTATTGATATTTTTACAATGTTCCAGAGCATTCAGGAATTTTATTTCTATATGCTTGTAGAGCTGGTCTACTTTAATAGCCTATTTTAATCTGTACAGTTAATATAAATTATTATGTGGATCCTGCATGGTCTGTCGGGTGATATTCGGAGTGATAATTGACATTCTGATTGATCGTGTAAGGTTAAGATTGATGTGCTAATTGGGCTGATGGATTTTCTGAAGTTGTGCAATAAAAGGTTCAATCAGGAGAAGTGGAGGGGAAACTAACCTAATAGGAAGATTAGTTTACCTAGGTCTCACTATCAATGTAAATATCTAATTTTAATTTAAAATAAACAGTTTCTTCATATGCATAGTTTATAAGCCATCTCAAATATATATATATATTTAAATAATCAAATGACCAATTAAAAAAAAAAAAAAAAAAACGGAAAACTACATGTACTTATAGAAAAAATTAATCTTTGACTGTCATGTATGATATTTGTTAGTTATTTTTTCTACCATATAATTTAGGCAATATTTTATCTTTATTGTTTTAAAAATTGAGCTTATATTTTACTAACTTCTGCCAAAATGATTTTCGGCCATTAGGAAGCAATTGTAGTTGTGAAGTAAGAAAAACCCTTTCTTTTAATAAAATACATTATTAATAGATAATCTGCCAGATTCACACTGTCTGTTATCCTCCAGTCAACAGAGCTGAAACGACATCAGTCTGACTGATAATGTGTAGGGTCCATCATGATTGATGTGATTCTTGTCAGTTTTGTGGCTCTCATTCCCGACTGACCGAGCTGGGTCCGCTTTACCGATGTTCATTCTAGGAATATTTAACATCTTGTTTAATTTAAAAACTAACTCCTCTGCAAATCTGCTGGATACTGGCCTTACCAGGCGTAATGCTGATTATAATTTTATTGATTCGCTGGATACCCTTTTCGACAACTTTAAATACTTACTCATTTCATTCGCTACGATGCTATAACTAATATACTTACAAATTATAGATCTTGCAATTCGTTGTAGCTTAGTCAGCTGAAGACTGCTGTTTATGGTTCATAATTTAATCATTATGAAATTATTGATAATTGAAATAAAATTCTATTAGGTCCCCTCTTGTTCAGATGCTAGATCTCTGACAGACGGAAACCAAAATGAGAAGGATGAGGACCGGTATAGTTCGGTTACCTAACCGTTACACTTTCCGCTTTCCCTGCTTGTCCGTTGAATACAAACTCCGTTACCATCGGCTGATTATCACTCGTCCAACGTAAGTCTTTGTTTCTGATGCAATCGATTATGTTTGTAATGGTTGCAATATCGATCATAAATAATGAGCGGCCGCTTGCTTTAAATACAATGGGTACTCAATCAGAGGAAGGGCGGTATAACAGCATACATAAG